TCATTTCAATGTGCGATTCAGGAAAAATGGAAAAAATGAGGCCGAAAGTAACTTACAAGTCGAAAATTACAAGAAGTTGTCTGGTTAAATTTTGAAGATGGTCGAAAAATTTCGAAATTTTCCTAAGGGAGAAGAATTGAAAAATTTTGATTTAAAAAAGTTGCCAAAAAGTTCACAAAAAATTATGGAATATAAATTTTGATGGATTATTTTCAAAAATATGACGTATTATAGACCCGGGTCAAGATTATTGAAAATCAATTTTTGAAAAAATCTAAAAACCTCATATTTAAGTGAACGATTCTGGAAAAATGGTTGCAATTGTCAAAGAAGTTACACTGAAAGTAAATACTAGAGGTGGAAATCTGACGAAAAATGTCTTCAGTTAAGTTCCGAAAGTAGTCGAAAAATTCCGAAAATCCCATATTGGAAAATTTTGGTTTAAAAAAAAATGCGTAAAAATCCAGAAAAAAATCTGAAATATGAATTACGTGCTGATTCTAAAAATCTAGTGTTTGTGGTCTAGGAGCAAGTTTTTCGAAATTTATGACTCGGAATTTAATTTTTGAAAAAAAAACCCAAAAAACTGTCATTTCAATGTGCGATTCAGGAAAAATGGAAAGAATGAGGCCGAAAGTAACTTACAAGTCGAAAATTACAAGAAGTTGTCTGGTTAAATTTTGAAGATGGTCGAAAAGGAAGAAGAATTCAAAAATTTTGATTTAAAAAAGTTGCCAAAAAGTTCACAAAAAATTATGGAATATAAATTTTGATGGGCTATTTTCAAAAATATGACGTATTATAGACCCGGGTAAAGCTTTTTGAATTTTTGAAAAAATCCAAAAAACTCTTATTTAAGTGAACGATTCTGGAAAAATGGTTGGAATTGTCAAAGAAGTTACACTGAAAGTAACTACTAGAATGGGAAATCTGCCAAAAAATGTCTTCAGTTAAGTTTCGAAAGTGGTTGAAAAATTCCTAAATTTTCAAAGTGAAAAATTTTGATTTTATAAAAGTTGCCTAAAAATCCAGAAAAAATTGTGTATCGTATGTCTCGACGTGCTGATTCCAAAAATATAGAGTTTGTGGTCCCGGGGCAAGATTTTTGAAATATTCGATTCCAAAATCAATTTTTTAAAATAAAGCCAAAAAACTTATATTCGATAGGCGATTCTGGATAAATAAAAGTTATCGAAAAAATTAGAACGAAAGTAACTGTCAAAGGTCGAAATTTACAAGAAATTGTCTATTGTTAAATTTTGAAGTGATCGAAAAATTCCAAAAATTTACTTGAAAAATTTTGATTTTAAAAGTTGCCAAAAAATCGCAAAATATTCTGGAATGTAGATTTCAATATACTGGTTCAAAAATTGTAGTGTTTGTGATCCCGGGGCAAAATTTTATTCCTGTTTGTAAATCAATTTTTGAAAATAATCCAAAATACTGCCCTACTTTAATCGTCGATTCTGGAAAAATTACAGAAGTTATCGAAAAAATGAGGACGAAAGTAACTTCTGTGGGTCGAAATTATTTTCATTTAAATTTCAAGTGGTCGAAAAATTCCAAAATTGTACCTGAAAATTTTTGATTTTAAAAAAGTTGACAAAAAATTCACAATAAAATCTGGAATGTAGATTTCGCCATGCTGATTCCAAAAATACAGACTCTTTGTTGTTTTGGGACAAGATTTTAGAAATATTCGATTTGAAAATTAAAAAAAAAAGACGTATTTCAGTGGGAGATTCTGGAAAAATGGTAGAAGTTATCGAAAAAATTAGGAGACAGTAACTTCTAAACCTATTTTAATCGGCGATTTTGGAAAAATGACAGGAATTATCGAAGAAATGAGCGTGAGAGTGATTTCAGAAGGTCGAAATTAACAAGAAAGTGCCTGTAATTAAATTTCGAAGGTGGTCGAAAAATTCCGAAATTTTCATATTAAAAAATTTTGATTTTTAAAAAGTTGACAAAAAAAATCCGGAAAAAAATCTGGGATGTTGATTGCAAAGTGCTCATTCCAAAAATATAGAGTGTCTGTGGTTCCCGAGAAACATTTTAGAAATATTCGATTTGAAATTCATGTTTTTTAAATCCAAAAAATGTGTCATATTTTCTGAAAAAATGATACAAGTTTCGAAAAAATTAGGGCGGAAGTAACTTCTGCAGGTCGAAATTTACAAGAAATCGTCTTTAGTTAAATTTCGAAAGTGGTCAAAAAATTCCAAAATTTTACCTGAAAATTTTTGATTTTAAAAAAGTTGCCAAAAAATTTAAAAAAAATCTAAAACGTAGATTTCGACGTGCTGATTCCAAAAGTGTTAGAGTGTTTGGGCCCCCCGGGCAGGATTTTTGAAATATTCGATTCGAAAATCAATTTTTTTAAATAATTTTAAAAAACTTATATTTCAGTGGGCGATTCTGGAAAAATAGCAGAAGTTACAGAAAAAATTAAGATGAAAGTAACTTCTGGAGGTCAAAATTTACAAGAAATTGTCTGTAACTAAATTTCTAAAATGGTCGAAAAATTCAAAATTTTGGTTCTTAAAGTTTTCTAAAAATCCAGAAAAAAATCTGGAATGTAGATTTCGAAGTGATGATTCTAAAAATATAAAGGGTTTGTGGTTCCGGGGCAAAATTTTAGATATATTCCGTGAAGAAACCAAAAAAGTAAAGTATGTAAACAACATTTGAAAGTTTTAATTCGACAATTTGAAATTATTACTACCATTACTACAGTATTTTTTCTACTGGAATAAAACACTCGTACGATTTTATTTTAGACAGACGAAAATGACCAAAGTTTAACTAGCTCTTAAGTGCGTCTGTGTACCTTTTCAGGGAAGCGGTTTACATTTGGTTATATAAAGTAATTCTAGGACATTTAAATTATGTAGGCGAAGTCCCGGTGGCCACATTTAAAATTCCGTAGTAGGCTTTATTTGGCTATGACTGAATTCCACTTAAGTTAATGCGAAATTCAGACATTTACACGTTATTTAAGCCTTCAATATGCTTTATTTTTGCATTAACTATTAATAACGGTCGACCGGAACCGAAACCTGAAATAAATCGACTTTTAACTGACACCCAAAATTACATATTTATATAAACGGAAATGGAATTTCGAATTATTTGGGTGGACTAATTAAGGCAATATATAACACATACTTGGAACAACTTTCGAAATATCGACAAAAGCTACAACGAATGTTTTTGTTGTTGATTCAATGCTAGTTACATTATTGGTTAATTACCCCGGCGTGAAAAATAGTTCTAATATTTCAAGAGGTTTTACCGTTTCCCCGAACAAATTCATTCAATAATCAATAAGAGAAAATTTAATGCAACGATAAATATTATTACTCCCATCATCCCTCCGTAATTCATCGTCGCATTATCTAATTGATGAATTTAACGCAGATATAAAAAATGTTATCATTATTGTGACAGTCAGTATTAAGCAATAAATTAACAACTCCAGGCTTAAAGTATTACAAAAAGTAACCGATTTCAAGATTTTCGCAAAATATTTGCCAACAACTATTTTTCTTATCGCACCAAGATTTCCTCAAACACGTAAAACCGAAAACAAAAATATTCTAGACACGAAGTTGATCTTGAAATTATATAAGTAGCCACGTAGTTATTATTAACTGCATAATTGTAAGGTAAATTGGTTTTTCCAATCATCATTTAGACAACCGTTTCGTAATTATTGAGTAATCAATAACTATGAATTTAGTTTTTTCAAATCGACGATGGAATAGAACGAAATTTTTATTTGTTTTTTTTTTGTTAATCTATCTATCAGCTATCATTTACACAAAACGCGGAATTGATGTATTTTCACGAAACTGAAATGTGATTGCCGCACTAGAATATTTTATACCAATTTTTCTTTTTATGTATAATATGGAAAATAAAAAAAAATATTGTATTATCTGTTTCTAGAAATCTAGTTTGTAATCGTTAACTATAATTATAATGAAGTTATAAAGCAATAAAAACATAATTACTCGGCTAATTAATTGTGTGATATTTATTCAATGCAGTGTAGAATTATAAGATTAAATAAGGCTTTGTAATATCAGAGTTCATTCCTGCAAAAGTAATCAAACATATTAAAGGATTTCTGAGTTATCTGGTGTCATCAGCTCAGTTAAAGACCAAAGAATGCCACTTATTTAATCAACAAAAATATTTTATTTTGGACTAGGAGTCTCTATAGAAATAATCATTTAACCACCTCAGGTTTTAACCTCGTAACGTGATAACACATCTTAATTTAACACTAAACCTGATTAATAACACTGATTAAAAGTAATAAACTTTAATATATGACCACAATAGTAGTATTTATAATCGAGTGACAGCAATAGATTACAGTTTTTAACACATGTAAATTTACTATTGTTTATATGAATGAAAAAATGAAAAATACGAAACTATAAGAAATAATAATTAAGAAAATCTAATTAAAAAAAAAAAATAGCACAACATAAAAATCCAAGCCGATAAAATGCTATTCAATTAACTACACTCAAATATTAAATCGCAGTTTTATCTTAAGATAACGACTTAATTCCTGTAATTTCGTTCCAATTGTTGCCATCAGGAGTGTCAACAACAAGACAATATCTCTAAACATAGTTGCTTCACATTCAAATTTAAAACTGACTTAACTAGTCATCGTTTTCTACTCTGATCTACTCCACTTGGTGCTAAACTAATCTGACAATGGTAGTTAATAGTTTATGGTCGATGATATTTCTTTATCTCAAGGCCAAGCGCAATCTTTGACAGACACAAAGACCCCTTTACTATTAACTTGTCATTAAACGTGACTTTTACACCGACACGACCGCCGCTTAAAAAATCTGACACTACTTCACAAAAAAAAAATCAATAAAACCAATTATCGCTCTAAATAGCAAACAATTATCGCGTCTGGTTGCAAAAACGCAACTTCATCGTCAATAATCTCGAAAATCTCCACTTACATGAGATAAATTAAGAGCTTCGCATATCTTCTCCACACAAGGCAGAAAATAATGATCGCAGATAATAGCCAGTAGAGTGAAACAGTAAATCCCGATGAAGAACACCAAAATAATGGCGCCCTTCTCCACCTCCTGCTCGGTGAGAAAATTCGGGAAGTCTTCCGACGAACTGCCACATTCTATGGAACCGTTGTGGGGCCTGGCCAAAATTATGTACCGCCTGTACCTCCTGAGATTGTCCTCCAAACTCTTCGCTTGGCCCGCAAGCGAAGCGCCGATAGCGGACTCCTTATCTGGAAGAAATATGGGTCATTCATTTTTGCACATCAACCTGTCAAGTTTTTTCTTACGCTAATCGGGCTCTATTAGCGTTATCTGGCGATTGTGGCTGATAAGGCGGATGAGGGGGTTTGGCGGAGGAGCGGTTAAATGCGGTGAGGGTCTTAGATGGACTGCTGCTTTGTGCAAGAACTGTAATATTGTGTCGGGGAGAGAATCAATAAAGTAATGACAAATCCATCCCTCTTGCTCACATTTATTATTTATAATTTAAGCGGATATTATTCTTTCACTAGTTGGGGTAATGTTTTGCTGCGATCTATATTCGTCGGGCGGTTATTTCTGTATTGTTTTATGAGGGTTTGTTATTATTTCTTTAAAAGTCCATTTATAAGCGTCAAAAGCGGGGCTAAAAATAATTTTATTTGTTTGCGCCCCCAGACATTTTTTTTTAAAAGGACGTCATTGGCTTTTTTAAAAGAAAATTGAGGTTCTGTTATTATTATGGTATATTTTTAAATTTTAATTTTTAATTAAGTTGTTAAAATTTATCAAACTGTGCATTCTCAGTAAGTTTATTTTATTTTTTTTTAATTTCAGTGAATGGCTAAAAAGTAGGTCGCACGCTTCCGTCCGACGTCTATCTGTCCTTGTTTATCCCGTCCTAAACTTGATGATGTCCCGGAGAAAGATTTTAGTAATATTAAGAATTGAAAATCTTTTTTTTTATTTTAAAAAACTGTTGGATTTAAATGGGTGATTCTGGAAAAATAGCAGGACTTATGGAGGTCGAAATCTACCAGAAAATGTCTTACTTAAGTTTGAAAGGTGGCCGAAAAATTCCGAAATTTTCATAAGGGAAAAATTTTGATTTTAGAAAAGTCGCCAAAAAATTCACAAAAAATTCTGAAATGTAGATTTCGACGTGTTGATTCTAGAAATGTAGGGTTTTGTGGTCCTGGGGCAAGATTTTGGAAATATTCGGTTTGAAACTCAGTTTTTTAAAAAAACCGTGCAACATGTATTTTATGGGCATTCTAGAAAAATGGTATCTGTTTTCGAAGAAATGAAGCGAAAAATTACTTCTGGATATCGTAAGTTACAATAAATTGTCTTTGGACAAATTTCGAATATGGTTGAAAAATTAGAAAATTTTCTTAAAAATTTTTATTTCAAAAAAGTTGCCTAAAAATTAATAAAAAATCCTTGAATACAGATTTCGACGTGTTAATTACAAAAATGTAGCTTACTTTGGAGCAAGTTTTTATAAATACTAGAATTGAAAATCTTTTTTTTGATTCCAAAAAACTGTCGGATTTTAATGGGTCATTCTGAAAAAATTGCAGGACTTTTGGAAGAAATGGGGACGAAAGTAACTTCTGGAGGTCGAAATCTGCATGAAAATGTCTTTAATTAAGTTTCAAATGTGGCAGAAAAATTCTGAAATTTTCATAACGGAAAAATTTTGGTTTTTAACGAGTTGCTAAAAAATTCAGAAAAAAATCTGAATTGTAGATTTCGACGTGCTGATTCTAGAAATCTAACGTTTTTGTAGTCCCGTGGCAAGATTTTGAAAATATTCGGTATGAAATTTATTTTTTATAATTCATGCGTTTCTGGAAACATGATTAGAATTTTTAAAAAAGCGAAGCTGAAAGTAACTTCAAGAAGTCGATATCTACATAAAATATCATTTCACTAGATAAGATTCGAAGTTGGCCGAAAATTTGCAGACAATTTTCAGTGTTGAAAAATTTTGCCTTTGAAAAAGTTGCCAATAAATTCACAAACAATTCTGGAATACAGATTTCCATGTGCTCATTTCAGAAATATAGAGTTTGTTGTACTCCCGGAGCAACGTGTTGGAAATATTCGGTTAAATTCACTTTTTGAAAAAATTCAAAAAAATTGTCATTATTATGTATTTCTACGGGCGATTCTGGAAAAATAATAACTCTTTTCGAAGAAATGGAGCCGAAATTTACTTGTGGATGTTGAAATTTACAAGAAAATATCCTTCGATAAGTTTCAAAGGTGGTTGAAAAATTCCGAAATTTTCATAAGGGAAAAATTTTGGTTTTAAAAACGTTTCCAAAAAATTCACAAAAATTTTGGAATGTAGATTTCGACGTGCTGATTCTAGAAATGTAGGGTTTTTCTGGTCCCAGGGCAAAATATTGGAAATATTCGGTTTGAAATTCAGTTTTTGAAAGAGTCCAAAAAAAACCTGAAAAAATGGTATGTTTTCGAAGAAATGAAGCCGAAAGTTACTTCTGGATATCGTAATTTACAAGAAAACGTCTTTCGTTAGGTTCAAAAGGTGGCTGAAAGATTTCGAAATTTTTATAAGGGAAAAATTTTGTTTAAAAAAGTTTTCAAAAAATTCACAAAAAATTCTGGAAAATAAATTTTGATGCGTGATTCCAGAAATGCAGAGTTTTTATGGTCCCAGGACAAAATTTAGAAATATTCGGTTTGAAATTCAATTTTTGAAAAAGTCCAAAAAAACTGGCAAAATGGTATCTGTTTTCGGAGAAATGAAGCCGAAAGTTACTTCTGGATATCATAGTTTACAATAAATTTCGAAGGTGGTTGAAATATTAAGTGATTTTCCATAAAGGAAGTTATTAAAGAATTTTGATTATAAAAAGTTGCCAAAAAATTCGCAAAAAATTTTCTAGAATGTAGATTTGGACGTGCTGTTTCCAAAAATATAAAGTGTTTAGGGCTCCGAATCAAACTTTTAAAAATAACGATTTGAAAATCTATTTTTTAAAAAATCCAAAATACTATCATAGTTCAACGGGCGAGTTTGGAAAAATGGTATAGGTTATCGAAGAAATGGTGACGAAAGTAACTTCTGGATCTCGAAATCTACATGAACATGTCTTTCGTTAGGTTTCGAAAATATTTGAAAAATTTTGAAATTTTCCAAAATGAGACTTATTGAAGAATTTTGGTTTCAAAAAATTGCCAAAACATTCACGAAAAAATCTGAAATACAAATGTCGACATTTAATTCCAAAAATCTAGTGGTTGTGATTCCGGAGGAAAATTTTACAAACCTTCTGTTTGAAAATCGATTAAAAAAAAAATAAAAATTCTGAAATATTCCAAAAGGAAATGTAATGAAAAATTTTTGGTTTAAATATAGTCAAAAAATCTACAAAAAAAAATGGCAAAATAGATTTCGATATGCTGATTCCAGAAATATAGAATGTTTGTGACCCCAGGGCAAGTTTTTAGAAATATTCAACTTGAAAGTCAATTTGTTAAAAAAATGCAAAAAATCCTACATTTCAGCGGCCGATTCTAGAAAAATGGTAGTAATTTTCGACTAAATGAGGCCTACAATAAATTCTGGAGGTCGAAATCTACAAGAAAATGTCGTTTAATTAGGTAGGATTCAAAAGAGGTCAAAAATTTTCAGGTTTGAAAAATTTTGGTTTTGCAAAAATTGCCAACAAATTCACAAAACATTTTGGCATACAGATCTCGACGTGCTGATTCCGAAAATATAGTTTGTTTGTGCGCCCTGAGCAAACTTTTAAAAATAGTCAATTTGTAAACTTTTTTTTTTTAATCCAAAATACTGCCATATTTCAAAGGGCGATTTTGGAAAAATGGTAGGAATTATCGAAGAAAGGGTGATGAAAGTAACTTCTGGATGTCGAGATCTACAAGAAAATGTCTTTCGTGGGGTTTCAAAGGTGGTCGAAAAATTCCGAAATTTTCCAAAAAGAGGTAATGCAAAATTTTGGTTTAAAAAAAGTTTTGCCAAAATTAATGAAAACTTCTTGAATACAGATTTCGACGTGCTAATTACAAAAATGTAGCTTATTTATGGTTCCGGAGCAAGTTTTTAGAAATATTACAATTGAAAATCTTTTTTTTTATTCCAAAAAACTGTCGGATTTTAATAGGCGATTCTGGAAAAATGACAGAACTTACGGAAGAAATGAGGACGAAAGTAACTTCTGGAGGTCTAAATTTCACATGAAAATGTATTTAGTTAAGTTTCAAAGGTGGCCGAAAAATTCCAAAATTTTCATAAGGAAAAAATTTTGGTTTTAAAAAAGTTGCTTAAAAATCCACAAAAAATTCTAAAATGTAGATTTCGACGTGCTGATTTTAGAAATGTAGGGTTTTTCTGTTCCCGTAGCAAGGTTTTGGAAATATTTGGTTTGAACTTCATTTTTTGAAAAAAAATCAAAAAACTGTCGTATTCGTGTGTGTGCGATTCAGGAAAAATGGTAAGAATTATCAAAAAAGTGAAGTTGAAAGTAACCTCTAGAAGTCAAAATCTACATAAAAATATCATTTCACTAGATAAAATTCGCAGGTGGTCGAAAATTGGCAGACAATTTTGAATTTTGAAAAATTTTGCTTTTGAAACAGTTTCCAACAAATTCACAAACAATTCTGGAATATATATTTCCATGTGCTGATTCCAGAAAATTAGAGCTTTTTATACTCCCGGAGCAAGGTGTTGGAAATATTCAGTTAAATTCACTTTATGAAAAAATCCAAAAAAATTTTCATATGTATTTCAACGGGCGATTCTGGAAAAATTCTTTTCGAAGAAATGGAGCCGAAAGCTGCTTCAGGATGTCGAAATTTACAAGAAAATGTCTTTCGTTAGTTTTCAAAAGTGGCTGAAAAATTCCGAAATTTTCATAAGGGAAAAATTTTGGTTTTAAAAAAGTTTCCAAAAAATTCACAAAAAAAATCTCCACTTGCTGATTCCAGAAATATAGAGTTTTTGTGGTCCCAGGCAAAATTTTGGAAATCTTCGGTTTGAAATTCAACTTTTGAAAAAATCCAAAAAACTTCCGTATTTTAATGGACAAGGCTGGAAAAATGGTAGAAGTTATCGAAAAATGAAGACGAGAGTAACTTCTGAAGGTTTAGTTTATAAGAAATTGTCTGTAATTAAATTCCAAAGGTCGTCAAAACATTACGAAATTTTCGTAATGAAAAATTTTGGTTTTTTAAAAGTTGCCCAAAAATCCAGAAAAAACTGGGGATATTGATTGCAACGGGGTGATTCCAAAAATATAGTCTGTTTGTGTTTATTTCCGAAATTCCGAAATTTTCCTAAGGAGAAAGTCGAAAAATTTCAAAAAAGTTGCCAAAAAATTCCCAAAAATTCTGAAATGAATATTCCGATGTGCTAATTCCAAAAATGAAGCCTGTTTTTAGAAATATTAGGTTTAAAATAATTTTTTGAAAAAATCCAAAGAACTGCCATATCTCAATGTGCGATTCTGGAAAATTGATTAGAATTATCAAAAAAGTGAAGCTGAAAATAACTGCTATAATAGAAGTCGAAATCTACAAAAATATAGCATTTCATTAGATAAAATTCGAAAATTGGCAGAAAATTTTCAATTTTGAAAAATTTTGCTTCAGAAAAAGTTGCGAAAAAATATTACAAAAAATTCTCGAATCTGGATTTCGACATGTTAATTCCAAAATGTAGCAATGTAGCCTGTTTATAGTAACGGAGCAAGTTTTTAAAAATATTTTGTTTAAAATCATTTTTTGGAAAAAAAAATTGTCATATCTCAATGCGCGATTGTGGAAAAATGGTTAGAATGATCAAAATAACTTCTAGAAGTTGAAATCCACATAAGATTCGAAGGTGGTCAAAAATTGGCAAAAAATTTTCGGTTTTGAAAAATTTTTGTTTACAAAAATTTACCAACAAATTCAAAAACAATCTGGAAAATAGATTTCCACGTACTGGTTCCAGATATAGAGTTTTTTTGTGGTCTGGAAATATTCGGTTAAATTCACTTTATGAAAAAATCTAAAAAAAAAAATTTTGATTACAAAAAATTCACAAAAAAATCTGAAATACAGATTTCGATGTACTAATTCCAATAACTTGTGGCTCCGGGACAAATTTTTAAAAATATTATAATGCAAGAAAATGTCTTTAGTTATGTTTCGAAAGTGATCGAAAAATTCCGAAATTTTCATAAGGGAATAATTTTGGTTTTCAAAAAATTGCCAAAATATTTCCAAAAAATTCTGTAATGCAGATTTCAACGTGCTGATTCCAGAAATATAGGGTTTTTGTGATCCCGGGTCAATTCTGGAAAAATAATAGCTGTTTAATCTAAAAATCACTTGAAAATCGATGTTGAATTCTACAAGGAATTCTCTCTGGATAAGTATAGAATGTGGTTGAAAAATTAAGAAATTTTCTTAAAGTTTTGATTTGAAAAAAATTTTCAAAAATTCTGGAATATAGATTTCGACGTGCTCATTCCAAAGATGCAGCTTTTTTTAAGGTCCCAGAGCACTTTTTTAGAAATATTTGGTTTAAAATAAATTTTTGGAAATAAACCAAAAACTGTCAAATTCAGGCTGAAACTAACTTCTAAAAGTCGAAATCTACAAAAAAATATAGGTTTTTCATTAGAAAAGATTCGAGGGTGGTCGAAAATTGGCAGAAAATTTTCAACTTCACAATAATTTCTGCTATGTAGATTTCGACGTGCTGATTTCAAAAATATAGTTTGTAGTTCCGTATCAAAATTTTAAAAATATCGTATTTGAAATTCAATTTAAAAAAATTACAAAATACTGTCATATTCAATGGGCGGTTTTGAAAAAAAATATGAGTTATGGAAGAAATGGTGATCGAAGTAATTAGACGTAGAAATCTACAAGAAAACGTCTTTAGCTAGGTTTCGAAGGTTGTCGAGAAAATCTGAAATTTTCTAAAAAGGGGGTTATGAAAAATTTTTATTTTAAAAATTTGTCGAAAAATTCGCAAAAGTCCTGGAATGTAGATTTCGACGTGCTGATTCTAAAAATACAGAGTGTTTATGATCCCTCAGCAAGATTTTAGAAATATTCGATTTGAAAATCAATTTTTGAGGAAAAAATTGAAAAATGGTAGGAATTGTCAAAAAAATGAGGCCGAAAATAACTTCTAGAACTCTAAATTTACGAGAAAATGTCTTTAGTTTAGTTTCGACGTTGGTCGAAGAATTCCAAAATTTCCCAAAAAGGGAGTTATTGAAAAATTATGATTTTAAAAAGTTGTCGAAAAATTCACAATAGGTAGATTTTGACTTTCTGGTTTCAAAAATATAGCGTATTTGACTGAACTTTATAATTTCAAAATTGGCATTACTTATTGCTATAATTTTCAAAGTTGGTAAAACTTTTCAAGATCTGTAATATTATCGTAATTTCATGATTGTATTTTTAGTTGTACTTTCTCTTTTTCATGAGTAACAGAATATGAAAAAATAGGTCTCCCATTTCTACGTGTCTATACTCTATCTGTTGTCTGTCGTCTACGACGATATTTATTGTACTTTGATGACGTCACGTCAAAATTTTACGTGGTAAACACTACGTAAATTTGATTAAATAATGAACTCTTGTACTTGTGGTTTATGAATTCGCCTTGACAACAAGATCTTCAAAATTTTCAAAAATGTGTTTATTTTAGAATATTGTTGATACAATCTTCTCTCATTATATTCTGTCCTAAAGCACAAAGCAACCTGTCATTGACACTTGAGGATATAAGCCGAAAAGTCTAAATTAAATTTAAAATAAATCTGCGAATTTACCTATCATTTATTACACAAATAAATAATTAAAAAAGCAAATAATAAAATATTCCGCTAACTTAAAAACCAACAAAAGCCAGACTCAGATAACAACAAACAAACATCCGTTAACAGACCTTGTCAAATCTCCCAGTCCCATTGTTTCTCCCTTAAAAACACTCCTTTCGCACAAATCCACAACAATAATACCTTATCAAACATCCGCGTTTGCACAACACGATTACAAAACATTTTTACTAACTTGGCAAAATCTACTCACCAATACCGAAAACTAAATCCCGCCGCACCACCACGACGAAAACACAAACAACCAGCAGGATGAAAACGGAGATTAACGACTTCATTGCACCAAAATTTTCACTACCACCACACTCCGAGTACTGTCAGCTTCCACTACAACGATCAACGATTCTCTTAATGCGTCTACTTGATTTGATGTAAAAGATCATTTTTCTGACGATAACCTGGAACAATTGCTTAATAAACACACTCGAAAAATAAACAACAACAATTTTCCGAGAACTTTTCTGGCTTACGCGTGCTTGGAGGTGGAAAATTAGAGGTTGTAGCTACCCGACAAAAAGTTGGCATTTTGCGGAAAGAAAAGTGTTAGTCATATTTTTATCTAGTAATTATGAAGCGGCCTTTACGTACGTCATTAGATATTCAAATATGCCAACTATTTATAATAATAGACAGTTATATTAAGTGCAAGAAAATTTAACAAGGTATCTAATGATTATGCACGCATTTGCGAAATGTGGATAAATACAGTTTTCGTGGATTTTTACCGTAATAATGTATGCGGTATTTAAAAAAAAATTGTTTCGATCAAAGTGCATGTGTTGCAGAAATTTCGAAAACGATAAAAGCGAAGTTGCTAAAATATGTTTTATTCATGAGCCATATCGTGGAAAAGGTAGTTAGTATTTTACGAAGAAACATTAGCATCTCGTTACATAAAAGTTGCTTTGAATATACAGGCTGTCCCACAGCAGAAGCGACAAAAACGATAAAACTTTTATCCGCAAAATGAATAAACACTTGACCGCTTAATTACTAAGCACACACTTTGTATTTTCCCGACACAATTTTGTAATCAGTAACCTTCGAAACATAAATTGCAAACAAATTACAAAAACAGTTTTCTTGTTGATCGATCCAATTACCAGCAGACAATACTTATTAAAATATAAAAACAATTCTCTAATACAGGTCAGTGCTATTCGTTAAAATGTTTGTAGAGCCTAAGGACATTGTTATCTTCGATAAAATAATAACAGTGGATTTTTCTTTTCTCGATACATTTCCATTATTCAAATGAACAATAGGCGCTTCCTCGAAATCTTCCAAATTCTGCTCGTCTAATTAATTTAGCGCTAGAAAGCTAACGAATAAGCTAAACACGGTGGGTAATAAAGTTAGCGAACCGAGACCAGAAAAATCATTTCCGAACTTTTGGACAAGATTTATTAACTAATTCGATAAAATAGCCGCAGCGCTAACTCAAACAACGAAACTCCGCTTTTTTTTGGCTTAAATAGACGAAATTATAACTAACCATGCGAAGAAAATGTACATTTTAGTTGCCACTCCACTTCAAAAAAAGTCCACACTATCACACTTCGAACAATTACTTTACTAACAGGAGAGATTATTGTTGCGATTTGATATTTTCAAGTGATAATTGTAAATCTCCCACTCTTTTTAAGATAAGGTACATAGGTACAACGGTGCTTAATAATGGGGAATTTTTGTTGTGGCAGCTCTGCGAAGCTGCCGCCATTTAACTATTCAATCTTGATAACTGCGAATTTTGAGAAAATTTTCAAAAACTTTTTTACAACTTGAATGGAATTTTTAGTCTAACTATAAACAGTTTGCGTAAGAATGAATTGATCGTATTTGAGTGTGGGGGGATTTACAAGTAATTATCTTATTGTGTTTAGTTTATCGAAGTGTTTCTGTAATTTACGAAGAAAGAAATACATAACGCATAACGATTATGTGCGATTGTTGTGGGTACAAATTATATAAAACATGTATATATTTTTTTTAGAGTGAGTTATTTATGTAGATGTTATGGGTTACGTTTTACTAGTGTGCGGTGATTGTGGTTTTACTTTATATTTTTTAAAAGGGTTTTTAATTTTATATTGTCATCACCAGTGTTTCATTCAATTAATTGTTTTTATTGTTCTTTGTAACCTTAGTGAATGAAGAAGCGGATTTGAAATGCAAAATAACCAGTAATTAACATAAGAATCTAATTGGAATGTATATTTTAACACGTGCGTTACCATAATAAAACATGGACTAAAAGGAAAAACAAACTCAACTTCCATAGTTTTGACCATACATTTTCATAACTTTTTAGTATGTTTTTAAACAAAACTATTTATTATGTGAATGATGTCGGTATATTTAAAATAACTGTCTCCTGTACAATATATTAAAAAAGAATAACTTTGAAAGTGCTATAAACTATCACAGTGAAAAACAACTAACACATAAATTATGTAAATTAAAAAATAAATGACTAACATATTGCAAGTAAAAAAAAACAATAAATACTTATATATCACAGATAAACTTTGTCTTTGGAGGGATATATTTTTTAAAATTGCTATTTGTTAATGCAAACATGCTGTATATGTCTATAAATCCTCGTTCAGAAGCTTCTCGCACATTATTACTCGAATTAAGATCATATACAGGATGTCCCAACATTTTCTGTACACTACTCAGAATAATAGATGTGGATGTAGTTGCACACAAAACTTACATTTAACTTCATGGAGCCTGAGATTTTTTAAATTCGTTTAACGATAAGACACCACATTCTTTAAAATTCTTTGAAAAGTCAAACATCAGGATTTTTTTTTTTTTCATAAACAGAACGCTGGGAATTCTTTTCTTCAAATTTTTAAACAATCAAACACAAGGATCTACCGAGATTCTTTAGCATTTTTTAAAAATCAAACACAAAAAACCAGCGAGATTCTTTAAAATTGTCTTTAAACTCAAACATCAGAAGCTCCGGGATTCTTTATATGCTTATGAAAAAAAAACAAAAGTGATCCTCGAGATTATTCAAAATTTTCTAAAAAATCAAACATCAGAGGCCCTTACGATCTTTTAAATCCTTTTAACTCTCAAACACAAGGAATCCGTAAGATTCTTAAAAAGTGTTTTAAAAGTCAAAGATCAGGGGCTCTGAGGATTTTATTTTTTAATTAAACGTCAGGAGTCCCGGATATTTTTTAAAACTCTTTTTAAACACAAGGGGTCCCCCAGATTCTTTAAAATTCTTTCAAAATTCAAACATCAGGGACCCTGAGTTTCTTCAAATTCTTTTAAAAATACAAAGAGTCTCCAAGATCTTTTTTTTCATAAACAGAACGCTGGAATCCTTTTCTTTAAATTTTTAAACAATTAAAAACACAAGGAACTCCTGATTTTCTTTAAAATTGTTTTGAAAGTCAAACATCAGAGGCCTTGAGATTCTTTAAATTATTTTGAAAAACAAACACGAAGAGTACCCAAGATTTTTTTTAACAGAATGTCCTTCGAAATTCTTTAAATTGTTTTAACAATCCAACACAAGGAACCTCCGAGATTCTTTAAAATTGTTTTAAAGATCAAACATCAGGGACCCCGAGATTCTTTAAATTTCTCTAAAAAATCAATTATCAGAGGCCCCTGACAGCTTTTAAATGCATTTAACTCTCAAACACAAGGAATCCCTGAGATTCTTAAAAGTATTTTAAAAATCAATTATCAAGGGCTGTGAGAATTCTTTACTTTTTTAATCAAACGTCAGGGATCCCGGAGTCTCTTTAAATTCTTTTAGCAATCAAACAAGAAACCCCGACATTTTTTGAAACTCTTCTAAAAATCAAACATCAAGGGGTTTGAGATTCTTTAAATTGTTTTACAATCCAACACAAGGGACCTTCAAGATTCTTTAAAACTGCTTTAAATATCAAACATCAGGGGCCAGAGATTGTTTAAAATTTACTATAAATTCAAACATCAGAGGCCGCTGAGATCTTTTAAATCCTTTTAACTCAATCAAATATCTGAGGATTCTTTAATTTTCTTTTGTTTTATCGAACGTCAGCGGTCCATGAGAGTCTTTAAATTCTTTCAAAAACAAACACAAGAAACACGCGGCATTTTTTATAACTCTTTTAAAAAACAAAGTGTCCCCCAGATTCTTTAACATTTTTTTAAAAGTCAAACATCAGGGGTCCTGCGATTCGTAAATTCTTTTAAAAAATAAACACAATGGGCCCTTAAAATTCTTTTTTTTTCATAAACAGATCACCGGGAATCCTATCTTTTAAATTTTTAAACAATCAAACACAAGGGACCCCCGAGTATCTTTAAATTTGTTTTGAACCTCAAACATCAGAAGCCCTGGGATTCTTTAAATTTTTTAAACAACCAAACACAAGATTGTTTAAAATTGTTTTAACCTCCAACATTAGAAGCCCTGAGATTCTTGATATGTTTATAAAAATTACACGAAAGAAATCCTCCAGATTCTTTAAAAAATTTTAAATCTCAAACATCAGACTTTGAGATCTTTTAAATTATTTTAAGAAACAAACACGAAGGGTCCCTAAGTATCTTTTTCTTTCAAAAACAGAACGTTGGGGATATTTGAGATTCTTTAAAATTATTGTTTTAATAATCAAACACCAGGGGTCCCGTGATTCTTTAAAATTCTTTAAAAAATCAAACATCAGAGGTTCCTGAGATTCTTTAAATTCTTTCAAAAACAAACGTCGAGGGCCCCGTATGCATTAAATTCTTTTAAGAATCAAACACAAGGAGGCCTTGAGATTCTTTAAAACACTTTTCAAAGTCAAACATCAGGGAGATCAAGATTCTTATAAGTCAAACATCACAGGAGCATTGAGATTCTTTATAATTTTTAAACAATCAAACACAAGATTTTTTAATAATGTTTTAACCTCCAACATCAGAAGCCCTGAGATTCTTCATATGTTTATAAAAATTAGACGAAAGGGATCCTCCAGATTCTTTAAAAATTTTTAAATCTCAAACACCAGAAACTTTGAGATCTTTTAAATTATTTTAGGAAACAAACACGAAGAGTTCCTAAGGTTCTTTTTCTTTCAAAAACAACACGTTGGGGATCCTTGAGATTCTTTAAAATTATTGTTTTAATAATCAAACACCAGGGGTCCCGTGATTCTTTAAAATTCGTTAAAAAATCAAACATTAGAGGTTCCTGAGATTCTTTAAATTCTTTCAAAAACAAACGTCGAGGGCCACGTATGCTTTGAATTCAAACACAAGGAGCCCTCGAGATTCTTTAAAACTCTTTTCAAAGTCAACCGTCAGGGAGCTCAAGGTTCTTATAAGTCAAACATCACAGAAGCCCTGAGATTCTTTAAATTTTTTAAACAACCAAACACAAGATTTTTTAATAATGTTTTAACCTCCAACATCAGAAGCCCTGAGATTCTTCATATGTTTATAAAAATTAGACGAAAGGAATCCTCCAGATTCTTTAAAAAAATTTTAAACTCAAACATCAGAGACTTTGAGATCTTTTAAATTATTTTAAGAAACAAACACGAAGGGTCCTTAAGATTCTTTTTCTTTCAAAAACAACACGTTGGGGATATTTGAGATTCTTTAAAATTATTGTTTTAATAATCAAACACCAAGGGTCCCGTGTTTATTTAAAATTCTTTAAAAAATCAAACATCAGAGGTTCCTGAGATTCTTTAAATTCTTTCAAAAACAAACGTCGAGGGCCCCGTATGCATTAAATTCTTTTAACAAAACACAAGGAACCCTCGAGATTCTTTAAAACTCTTTTCAAAGTCAAACATCAGGGAGCTCAAAGTTCTCATAAGTCAAACATCACAGGAACATTGAGATCCTTTAAATTTTTTAAACAATCAAACACAAGATTTTTTAATAATGTTTTAACCTCCAACAGCAGAAGCCCTGAGATTCTTCATATGTTTATAAAAATTAGACGAAAGGGATCCTCCAGATTCTTTAAAAAATTTTAAATCTCAAACATCAGAGACTTTGAGATCTTTTAAATTATTTTAAGAAACAAACACGAAGGGTCCTTAAGATTCTTTTTCTTTCAAAAACAACACGTTGGGGATATTTGAGATTCTTTAAAATTATTGTTTTAATAATCAAACACCAAGGGTCCCGTGTTTATTTAAAATTCTTTAAAAAATCAAACATCAGAGGTTCCTGAGATTCTTTAAATTCTTTCAAAAACAAACGTCGAGGGCCCCGTATGCATTAAATTCTTTTAACAAAACACAAGGAACCCTCGAGATTCTTTAAAACTCTTTTCAAAGTCAAACATCAGGGAGCTCAAAGTTCTTATAAGTCAAACATCACAGGAGCATGAGATTCTTTAAATTTTTTAAACAATCAAACACAAGATTTTTTAATAATGTTTTAACCTCCAACATCAGAAGCCCTGACATTCTTCATATGTTTATAAAAATTAGACGAAAGGGATCCTCCAGATTCTTTAAAAAATTTTAAATCTCAAACATCAGAGACTCTAAGATCTTTTAAATTATTTTAAGAAACAAACACGAATGGTTCCTAAGATTATTTTTCTTTCAAAAACAGAAC